GTACAGGGGGAGGAGAAGAGGAGACAGGACTTTGTGGGCAATTTTTGTCAGGCATGTTTGGAACTCACTTATAATGGCAGCGTTGTTGGTCTCCTTGCGAAACCGGAATTTTCTCAGCTTCTCCACCAGGTCTTCAGCAACATCACAAACCACCAGAGATTCACTCTGCAAAAAAAGGAGAGGGCACGGGGGAGGGAGAGATAAATCTTTCTGGAAAGTAAACCAGAAAAGAAATCCCTGTGTCACACGGATGTGTGCACAAACCCTGCTGAAGTGGGCCTGCATGCAGTTGGCCAAAGTTTCAGAACATCACATAAACCAGATTTAAAAAAAAAAAAAATCCAACACATTAAGAGAGCATTTATCTGTTTAAATATCCCTCCTCAAAGCCATGCAGTTAATTAGGAATATTTTATTAACTCTTTCTGAAGTGGGATTATTATCACAGCTCTCAGAAGTAAAGTTTACATTTCAGAAGTAGATTTTATACTTCTGCACTTAGAAGTAAATTTTACACTTTGCCAAGTCCTGAAATGAGGGAGCCCCTTGGAGGGTCAGTAAACGGGGTAAAGAAATTGAAGCCCTTGAAATAATAGGAGCTACTATTAATATTGCAGAAGAACATAGTGATTAAGGGTCACTGCTTATTTTTACCCACAGAAACACTAATTGAACTTTGGAGATTTACACACAAAGCATTTAAGGCGTTTTAACCAAAAAACATGCAGCCTTTTTTTCCCCCCTGTGCACACCAAGCTGTCAGCAGAGATGCCCAGATAACACATTAGTCATCATGCTGGAGATGAGGAAGGAAATCATTATTTCACAAGCAGCCATGCAGGTTATCTTGCCTTGTACGTGCAATTTCTGAACTGCACCAAGCCAACCACGGCCACTTCCTGAGCCGCATTTTAGACACACAACCTCTCTATCCAAGAGGTTCATGCCAGCCAGATAAAGAAGAGTTATTTAATATTTTCAGCTTGTATTGTATTTGTAAACTTCTAAGGCATCGTGGCTTTTGGGCCAAAATGACTGTATTTCAAGGTTTCCCAAAAAAAAATTCCTCAAAGAAAAAACATAGTGCAATTATTCACCTATTAAATACTCTTAATAAGGAGCTCTTTCACTGAGAGAAATCACTGCTCATAAACCAGAAGTTGCTATTTAAGTTCTCCGTTCTATCTCCTTGTGTTCACCATTATTTGTGAGATTTCCCCTCAAAAAGCAGAGGGGTGGCTCTGCTTCCCCACTTCCCATATCCCATGTTTGCTGTCAGTCCTGAAAAGATCTCCACCTTGACCAAATTCTGGCACAAATTCTCTGCTTCCTTTGGACAGCTGGAGAGGAAACCAGGCTCTGCTGTGACAGCACAGCTCAGGCACAGAATGTGCAGACTCCTTTATTTTGCCTTATTTTTTCCCTAAGGATTGTTCTTGGCTCCCTCTGATGCACAAATGGATCCCTCTGATCCAAACAGGTTGGGCTCGATGATCTCAGAGGTCTTTTCCAACCTAACTGAGTGATTCTGGGAAAAGTCACTAATATCCACTCTCACTAATACAGGGGGAAAAAAATTATTAAAAACTATTTTAAAAACCCAGCAAAACTCAGGGCTGCATTTCACAGCTGAATTTACATTTTGCATGAGACGTCACTAATACCAACTCAGGAGGTCTCTATTAAAAACAGAAAATAAAAATAGAAAATTAAAAAACCAGCATGATTCAGGGCTGCCTTTCAAAGCTGGGGTTACACTCTGGATGAAATGCCCTTTCCCGAAGGAAGCCTCCCTCCCAATCCTCTGGGCTCAGCAGTTTCTCCCAGCAGACAAGCCTTGCCCTCGCTCCACCTGTGCGGCCGAACAAAAAAAACAATTCCCCGAGGGAATTCGAAGGAGAACACTCGGTGCCATCAGAGCCAGGCTGTTTATCGGGGCTGAGCCGGCTGCCTAGCGCTTGGCTCAATAAAAACCCGAGGAAGCCAAGGCAGGATTGCTGCACAGACAGGGGCACAGCTGCCAGCGCCACGGGGGGGATTCCCTGCATCGCTCCCTGAGCCCAGCGTCTGACAGGAAACCCGAATTGCCCAGATGTGAAAGGGCTCTCTCCTTTCACCAGAGGAACCCAAGACTCGGTCCAATTTGCCTTGCAAATGCTCCTTCCACAGGGGTTTACCCAAACCTTCACTACAACCACGTTCCTTCCTTCTTCCATGGCCAACCCTTCACCCGTTAACCAGCACTAAGGCAAACTACCCCCACATTTATCCGCCAGCCCGCCCTTGTTCCAGCCACATCCACAGCTCCAAACCCACCACTCGGGCGAACGACTTCCCACGAGCAACAATCAGACGTTCTTCGGCGAATTAGCCGAAAACAGCACCAGGACGCGCAGCGACCGGCTCCGAACAGAACGAGCCACCGATCGCTTCACAGACACACACAGCCAGCTCCCTGGAGCTCGCATCACGCGTTTTCCCTGATTACTCCACCATTTACCCCACGAAACGCTTCCGAACCACTCCATCGCGCATCACCTCAGCGCGCGGGACCCCCATCCCCTCCTCCCGGTTTTTCCCCCGGTTCCCCCCTCAGAATTCCCTCAGCATTCCCCTCGGTTCGCCCCTCCTCACCATCGTGGCGCGCGCACCAACCGCCGCCGCTCGCGCGCCGCCGCCGCCACCGCCGAGCCCGGCCGCGACCCCCGCCCCGCCACGGCGCCTGCGCGCGGCAAGCCCCGCCCCTCCTCCCGCCCTCCCGCCAATCACCGCCGCCCGACCCGGGTGACGCGGTAATTTCAGATCCCCCCACCCCCCCCACGGGCGCGGCGGGGCGGGAAAAGGAGGGCCCCACGTGACCGCGCGGCGCGCCCCGCCCCGCTCCCGTTGCCGCGGTGGGCGCCCCGAAAGCCCCGCCCCCCCGTCCCGCGCCCTTCGCCATGGCAACCCGCGCGCTCGCCCTCGCGCGCCGCCTCGCCCTGAGGGGAGGTTCGAGGGGAGGGCGCGCTCGGCTCGGCAGCCCTCAATGTGCTTTTAAAAACGAAACGACGCGCTGTTTTAAAGCCCTGAAACCGAAGCGTATGAGGCAAATCAGGAGCTGGGCTGATTTTGTGGTGCTTGTTGCGGAGAATAATTCTGGAAGTAAAGTGGACAAATCGGAGCAGCCCCTGCTGGGCGGACGCTGCTCTTCCCTGGTGGGGTGTTCGCTGTCTGGGTGCTGGAGTGAATATCTGGCGTTTTTCGTGCTGCTGGGAATTTAAACTGCTGTAACAGCAGAGGAAATGCCTTTTCAGTGATTCCGTAATACTGAGACTTGAGAATATTGCTTTACTCACTCAGAGAAAGTACAGCCTCTTGTGAATTGTATAAATGACACCAGATTTATAAGATAAATGTAGATTTTTCACCAAGAGGCTTCAGCAAACGCCACAGAAACGTGGGAATGCCAAACACATGACAAAACTGAAGCTGTTGATTCCATGAAATCATGGAATGTCCTGAGCTGGGACCCACAGATCATCAAGTCCAGCTCCTGGCCCTGGAAAACACTCGGATGAAGGAGAAGGGAGTCCAAGGAGACAGTGTTGTTGCAAAGGGAGAAGCAGAAAGCCATGATACAAGTGTGGAGGAAGACACCAATGATGGAAATAAAGAAGGCGGCTCCAGTGTTGCTGCAAATGAAGAGGAAAATGATGCTGGAAGGGAAGGAAAAGAAGGCAGTGATGATGGGTGTGTGCAGGAAGGCACAGCTCTACTGCTGTTGAAAGAGGTGCTCACACACAGAGCTGTGCTTGTGGGCCCCTGTGTTTATATAACTGTATATAGATTAACACTGTAGTTAGTTCATTTATCCGTGGAAATCCTGTATAGTTATAACTCAAATATAGACACAGATGTATGTATATATATAACATGCTCACACCTCATGTGGGCCCATGTGTATGTTAACTGTATATATGTAACTGTAAATATGTTAACATTCTGTTGGAAAAATTGGTCCCCCACCCAGAGCTGTGCAAACCAGGAGATGGATCTCCAGATGGAGCAGACAACCCTTGCCGAGAGGTGCATGTCCATATTTTCCTTACCAATATATCAATATTCTCAACATAAATATCAACATTTCACTGTATTATTTAAGAGGTTGCATTAATTATATTAGCGATTTAGACTCCAGCTGTGTTTCATTGTATCAAATAATACAATACCTGCTGTTCTGAATTATTATGATTTAATATGTATGGCATATATATGGTATAATACATGTATTACTATCATGCATATTTCAAACTGTACATTATAATACATTATAATAATATAATAATAATATAGTTATAATAATAGTTATAATGATAGTTATAATAATAACTTATAACAGCTTATAATATAATCGCTTATAATAGCTTATATTTAAATAATATTATTATATAATATAATAAATATAATATTATTATATAATATAATAAATATAATATTATTATATAATATAATATATATAATCTTATAATATACTATAATAAATATAATATAACAATATAATATAATGACATAATATAATATAATGATATAATATACTATATACCATTCATACAATATGATATATGACAACATAGAATAAATATTAAAATGTCATAAATTTCACTATATAAGAAATTTTACTCTATAATAAGTATTAACATATAACAATATCGAAATACAATTTTATTTTATTTTATTTCCTATCCTTTTATGTAACTATTTCAATGCTATTTAAACATTTAAAACCCCACCGTGCCGAAGCGTGCTCGGGGCGTTACTGTGGGCGTGGCCACATCCTAGGCCACGCCCTCTAACGGGCAAACTGAGGGCAGTGGCGTCAGTCTCAGCCCCCTTGGCCCCGCCCATCTCCTGGCAGTCTGAGGGCAGTGGCTTCAGTCTCAGCCCCCTTGGCCCCGCCCATCTCCTGGCAGTGTGAGGGCAGTGGCTTCAGTCTCAGCCCCCTTGGCCCCGCCCCTCTCCTGGCAGGCTGAGGGCAGTGGCGTCGGCGCCGCCCGGGCCCGCGGGCCCCATGGCCGCCGTGTTCCTGGTGACGCTGTACGAGTACTCGCCGCTGTTCTACATCGCCCTGGTCTCCGTCTGCTTCCTCGTCACCAGCGCCGTCGTCCTCGGCTGGTCAGTGCTCGGGGTGGAGGGGGGGACACACGGGGGACAAGGCCGGGCTGGACGCGGCGTGGAGCGCCCTGGTCTAGGGGAAGCTGTCCCTGCCCCTGTCAGGGGGTTGGAACTGGATGGGATTTAAATCACGTTAAGCTCTTTCCTTCTTTCAGCAATACCGAACTCTTCTGAATGTTTTTTTTGTAATGTTATTCGTGATATCGGCAAGGTCTGTGTTTGTATGTGCTGAGCTACTGTCCAGGGAAGGGAATGGAGCTGGGAAGGGGCTGGAGCAGCAGGAGCAGCTGAGGGAGCTGGGGGGGCTCAGCCTGGAGAAAAGGAGGCTCAGGGGGGACCTTCTGGCTCTGCAACTCCCTGACAGGAGGGGGGAGCCGGGGGGGAATGTGCTCCCAGGGAACAAGGGACAGGACGAGAGGAAAGTGCCTCAAGGGGAACTTCAGGTTGGACAACAGGAGGAATTTCTTCACAAAACTCCTTTCATGCAGAGGCTTTTCCCTTGTTTACAGCCTTTTTTTGGCTGCCAGCTGGCTCGCACACGTGCCTCTGTTGGTCTCGGGGTGAACAGAGCACATCTTTTGACCTTTCAGATACGTTTCATGAGGAGTTTAATTCTTGCCTTGCAGTTCCTCCCCCAGTGCTGGGTCTTCTTGTTTTCGTTTCTTTGTGCTGGATGAAGCTCCACCCCATTGTTTGCTTGGGGACAGAGGTGGTAGAAATCCTCTTTATAAGTCTCTCTGTCCCTCTGCACTGATGGTATTAAGTTGCCATCCAGTTCTCTCCACTTCTTCACTTCATCGGTTCTTTAAAAAAAGAAGATATCTTTATCACCAGTATCATCTTGCTTTAAAGGTATCTTTAGAAAAAGATGACACTGGGCCATGATTCAGATAAATCCCCAGCATGTCCATCCCCAAACCAGTGATCCTTTTGTAATTTAATCATTGTTTACCTGTTTATAATAACTGGAAACTGTGTGGAAATAGGTGTGCCACAAGATCCTTGTGTGTGTGCACGTGCCTGTTGTTGCTTTTTGGCCACAGGGTGTTGAAGAGCAGTGCCCAGAGGCGTTTTTATTTCAGGATCAGAGATTCCAGGTGCACCTGCACTCGGTGTTATTGCAGTTTATGGAAATACATGCAAATTTTCTTCCAGCTAGAGTGTTGAGGGACTGTCAGTCGAGGAGAGGAGTAGCCAGGAGCTCGGCACTTACAAGTGAGCGTGCAGGCCGGTGCTCAGAGGTACTGGCTGCTCAAAGGGAGCTCTGCCATTCCATGGCCGTGTCCAGGAGCATCTTCTAAGGAATTTCCCTGTGCCTGGAGCTGCAGTTACAGCTCAAGTGCTCCTGAACTTGCCAATGAAAACAACTGAACCCTTCATTTGCCGCACGGAGCACTGTAAATGGAAATGGTGTCACAGGAGCACAGAGCACCTGAGCTGTTGCTGGGGTGCCATTTTTGTCTCCCCCATCATTTCTGGCATTAATTTGCTCTGTGGATGCGTTTGGGGTGGTGTCAGCCAGCCTGGAAAGCAGCAGCTGCTCAGGAATGTCCCTGCTCTCCTTTGTGAGCCCTCACGCTGATTGGAGGAGCATCTGTTTTCATGGCCAGCCCTGGATAGCTGTGGCTCTGCTCAGAGCCCAGGCAGGTTATTACTCCCAGAGCCAGCCCAGCAGGTGCCCTGGGCACAGGGATGGAGTGGAATTTAGATCACCTGGCTGCCTGTGCACTGTGTTTTTAGCTGGAGGTAAATGCTTGGCTTGGGAGGAGCTGAAGGCTCAGAGCAGCTGTTGGAAGTGCAGCTCTTTGGAGAAGTCAGCTCATGGACAAACCCAGTGAAACTCCTGCCTTTTCTAAACCAGCACTGCCCTGAAGAGATTAATTTTCCCCTTTACCAGCTCATCATATGGATTGTTAGATCATTAAAAGAAACTGTATCTTTATTCATCCCTCTACACTGAATGCCACCTTAAAATTTACAGAAACACCACACTTACTGCTGGACAGGCAAATATTTATTACACTGCCAGGAGCAGGTTGTTGCTGTTGAGAGCGGCTTTGAGGTTTTTTTTTTTCCCCTTGAATTATTTTCCTCAACTTGAAAGTCACTTTTGACTGGTGTTTTTCCCTGTTAGTCCTGTAAAGGGCACCCCTCCAGCACCCAACATTCTGAGGGTTGCCTAAATCAAAATTCAGAGCCATGGAACAGGCCATCACTTCGGCAGTACAGGTGGCAGCGACCAAAGGAACAGCCTGGGGTAATTCATAAATGTTTCCTAAAATGCATTAACAAAGACTCCCATGGGCTGCATATCTGGGACTTCTCTGAAAAGCTTCTCTAATGAGTTTTTGGATGTTGGAGGTTACGGCTGCCACCTTAAAAAGTTAATTTTTTTCCCCAGTATCCAACCTGAACCTCCCCTGGTGTAACTTGAGGCCGTTCCCTTTCCTCCTGTCCCTTGTTCCCGGGAGCAGAGCCCGATTCCCCCCAGCTCCACCCTCCTGTCAGGGAGTTGCAGAGAGCCAGAAGGTCCCCCCTGAGCCTCCTTTCCTCCAAATTATTCTTCCTTGCTTTCTTTGATATTTATTTTCACTCATAGGGTGTTTAAACTTTTAATCCTTTGCTCCATTATCCTTTTAGGGCCAGAATATCACTCGGTCTGACCTTCTGGTTTTGGCTTTGAAGGGGTCTCAGTGTCTCAGCTTTGATTCAGAGTCTTGACTATCTTGCACTTGGTTTCTGGCTCAAAGCAGAGGCTTTTTGAGCCCCTGATTTAATACATCAGCATTTGGTTGTAACTGAGGTTTAAATGGGAAATCAGGATCTTAGTATCCCATCCAAACATCCTGCTGGCTGTAGGAAATATCCCGGGGCTGAATGATTTCCTCCAAGGTTTTCCTTTGGAGCACCCAGGCCATCGAGGCTGCTCCTTCTTTGCAAACAGTGATTTTTGTTTTTTCCCAGCTCTGATCCTGAGATGGGATGTGCAAGACTCAGCTGGGAGGGAGCTCTGGCCTAACCCTTTACCACTAGAGGGCATTGACCACTTCAGGAATTTTATTCCCTTTCTGGAAAAGCAGGAGTGAAGCATCCCTCCTTTAAAGATTCCCTGTGTCCTGTCTTCTGCCACGAAAAGCTGGAGTCAGATTGGCAGGAAATATCCATGCATCCAAGCGGATATTCTGGAAAACCAATTCAGCTCTGATTTGTTGTGCTGTTTGGTATTTAGAACTGGGGAAAAAAAACATAAAATGTGTCAACACTAACACTGAACCCACTTGTTGTTGTTGTTTTGTGTCCCATAGGTTTGGGTTGGGTGTTCCCGTTATCCTGAGGAACTCAGAGGAAACAGAATCCAGCACAAGGGTACTGAAAAAGCGGATGAGACAAGTGAAGAATCCCTTTGGGTTGGAAATCCCTCGTCCTGCTGCAGCGTCGCTAACAAGTCAGATGTGATTTTTGTCAATTTGGGTGCCTGAACTTGGTGCTGTTTTCTTCACAGAATCATAGAATGCTTTGGATTGGAAGGGACCTTAAAGATCACCCTCAGTCTCGCTCTCACCCTTTTCCTTGATCATAATTCCTCCCGTCATTCCAGCAGAAATATTTTTTTTTTCACGGCTTACAGACAGGCTGTTTTAAGAAGCGAAATGTTTGGATATTTAAGTGCAGCTTAATTCTCATTAATAAAACCCTTCCTGCTATTACAGATCTTTAAGTCACTAAAACATTTGCAAATTACCAGCTCCTGTGGGCGTTGCTGTAAATTGAACAGAATCTATGGAATTCGTTATGGAACATGTGCCGCCCACTGAAGTCTAAGCCCGGATCTCCAGCACTGTTTGCAAGTGCCCTATTTTTAAATAATAAATAGATAAATGGAAAATCTCCCTCTTTTTCTCTTTGTGCTTCCGTGGAAGCTGAATTTAAGTACCTGTTTGGATCAGAGTTCAGTTCTTTCCTAGCATCCTTGAGACCACCCACGTAAGGAAAGGAGATTCCTGCCTTGCTGCGTCACCGGGGAGCAGGAGCCAGAGCTGAGCATCTTCCACCCACGCAGATGTGGGGCCTCCCACTGCACCAGGAAGGGCTGCTGCAGTTTTATCCCCCTCCCCCAGCATAAAACCCACCCCCCAACACAACAAACCCAACAGCTGAATCTTCAGGTAGTTTGGATTTTTTCCAGGAGCTTTGGGCGCTTCTGCTCCTGTTGGTGTTTAGAAGTTGACGGGTTGGGTACTTGATTTTTGGTAAAGAAATGGAGCACGTGCATCTTTTTCTCCTCCCTTTGCATGATCAAGAGCCTTGTTCTCTGAGACCACAGAGAGTTTTGTAGGCCAGTGATCCAATTGATACCATTATCTGGGGAGGGAATGGACTTTGGGCCAGGGCTTGTGCTCTTGGGTCTGCCTGTGAGTGTGTAAAGTGTTACCAGAGGTTAAAATTTACCCTTCATAAAGTGCATGTGCTACTTTTGTGAGCTTAATGAGCCGTTTTATCTCCTCACACTGCCTTCCCCATCTCCATAAACACCAAACTGAGTCTGAATTGTTAGAAGGTTTGCTTGTAATGATAAATAATTTATTTTATATTAATGTTTGTAATTTTAGGGGTGACCCAATTGCAGCCTTCCACTACCTGAAGGGAGCCTACAAAAAAAGTGGAGAGGGACTTTTTGCAAGGGCATGGAGTGCCAGGACAAGGAGGAATGGCTTCAAACTGCCAGAGGGCAGGGTTAGACGGGATATTGGGATGGAAATGTTGTCTGTGAGGGTGGTGAGGCCCTGGCACAGGTTGCCCAGAGGAGCTGTGGCTGTCCCATCCCTGGAAGTGTTCCAGGCCAGGTTGGATGGGGCTTGGAGCAGCCTGGGCTAGTGGAAGGTGTCCCTGCCCGTGACAGGGGGTGGAACAAGATGGTCTTTAAGGTCCCTTCCAACCCAAACCATTCTGGGCTTCTGTGACTCTGTGAAGTTGTTTTCTGGTTGTTGCTCTTTGAGAAGCTACACTTGGCAATTCCAGAATTCCCTCGTGTGGCTGAGCTCCTGAAACCCTTCTCTTCTGTCTCGCAGAGGGTGTAACCCTGACACCTGACTGTCTGGAGGACTGTGTCCTCACCTGCTACTGGGGCTGCAGCGTCCAGAAACTCCACGAAGCGCTGCAGAAACACGTCTACTGCTTCAGGATAAAGACTCCTCAGGCGTTGGAGGATGCCCTGTACAACGAGTACCTCTACAGGCAACAGTACTTGTATCCTTTTCTTTTTTTACCCTTTTCTGTTTTGACAAATTACGTTGATTTTTTTGGTGGGGAAGTGGGGGGGTGTTGAGATTTCGTGTGTTTTGTGAACAAATACCGTGGCAAATATTCTGTGTGCAGACGCTAGGTTTGACTGCAACTGCAGCCACGCCGATTGTTTTCCCTTGACACAGACAAAGCATTAAAAAAAATGACAAGGAGGAGAAGTATTGCCAGTTACCAGAAGATGCTCAAGTTGTGGATTTTGGCCCCGTGCCCAGATCTCGCTATCCCTTGGTAGCGCTGCTGACGTTGGCAGATGAGGAAGACAGAGAAATTTATGACATTGTAAGTGGTATCAGAATATATTTTAGGGTCACTGTATTTGAGGTCTGAATGTTTCAGGAGAGAGGCTTGAATAAAGCAGCTTCCCTTCCCTGTGCCTCGCTTGTCGCTGGTGTCTCCTGAGCAGCGTGGAGGAAAAAAAAAAAAAGGATGATTTTAATATATTTAAAAGGTGCTTATCTCCCAAAGCCCCTGCGTGCCAAGGTCCCTGTGGCCAGAGGAAGGAGGGTTGTGGCAGGTCAGTCAGCTGGTACTCTGATTTTCCAGATCACACAGACCTGAGGTGGAGCTCTTGCACCGATAAGGAATTTTGGATTCTGTTGGCGAGGCAGGAGGGTTGTTTTTTTTTTAATGCCTGGCACAGATACAGAGCTGATTGCTGACTTGGCTGTTGGAAACACAGAAATCCCCTTTCTGCCACAGGTCTGTGCCATGCAGCTCTGTCTCAGGAGCTGAATTGCAGGAAGGGGTGAAGGTACAGACTGACAGGAGATACCCAGCTCCCCCAAAAAAGGGTCTCCTCCTAATCTCCTGCTGTTAAAGCAGCTTCAGCCTTGGCACCTGCAGCTCAATGTCCTTTCTGTACCCTAAATTGATTATTTTTTGAATTATTTGAGATTATTTTTATGTTTTAGCACCAACTGCTTGAACAGTAACACAAATCCCGAAATTCACTGAACACTGTTCCATGCATTCATCTGGAAACTGTGATCACAGCAGTGCCAGGGAAATCTGTCCTCTTTCCAGGTGATGCCTGTCCTTGGCTTCTTGTCACCTGCCCTGCTCCCTCCTGATCCTGCTCGAGGTGTTTCCCCCAGATTAATAAATTTTTATGTGGATATGTATACATTTTTATAGTTTAATATAAAGACTGTAAGTTTAATATTTGAATGTGTTTGACACTAGCATGGAGATGACTTTGTAACACCTCTCTTTTGTTCCTCAGCATAGCAGAAAGGGGTGGAAAGAGAGTGTGTTTGGGGGGTTATTTTTCCTCTGGTTTTGGAGGAAAGGAGCTCATCCAGAATCTGTAAATCTGGTCAAGGAGTAACTCCACCGTGTCCTTGCCAGGCAAATGTCAGAATCACATCTGGTTTGTTGAAACAAACTTGTAAAATACAAATATACTGTGGAAAAGGATATTTGCCAGTATGATGCAACCATTCTGCATTGTTCTCTGTGTGTGTGTCCATCACTATTGATGGTACTCCAGTATCTCTTTCTTGGGGGCTCTGATTTCCCACTATATCTTTCCTGAGGGGGGTTAATTTTCATCCTAACTGGTTTTGTCATCCAGATCATCCCCATTTGGTTTTGTGCCATGACTTTCCTCCAGCTCCAGAAAAGTAGCATGGCCATGTATAAAAGTAGCAGAAATTATTTGGAGACTGGCAGGGCTAAGCTGAAAGAAGCTCAGATCTCAGGTGCTGTGATTTAATAAAAAAAAAAAGACCTTTTCCCCACAGAACAGTGAATTCAGTTAGTACAAATCCATATGTGCAGGTACAGACACATTTAAACTCTCTGTTTAATTAGCCGTGTGTGGATTTGGAAGTGCAAGTCTGCTTGGCTTTTAATATTTTTTATTTTTTTTTTCAACAAAACAGCTTCTATATTTCATTTCTCTTTCGACAGCTTCTGGGAACTACAATAATACTGAATTTCACTTTTCTTTTTTCCCTGCTTTTTAGAGGCTATTACGTAATCTGGGCAGGCCTGGGTGGGGGGTGGTTTAGGCTCAGCAGGCAAGCTTAGAGGGCTTGTATTTCCAGAGAAATTCCTCCAAAGACAACCATGGGGTTCCAGAATCCTTTCCAGCAAAATTTATCTTTTAACCCAGCATATTTTTTTTTTTGTGATCTGTGCTTGAAGTCAACACTGTTGAATTCCTGGTTGTCCTGGATTAGGTAGGTCAGAGGCCGTACCAGGGGATGCCAAATCCTGGCATCCTGGGATGGTTTGGGTTGGAAGACACCTTAAAGCCCATCTCATTCCAACCCCTCTGCCATGGGCAGGGACACCTTCCACCAGCCCAGGTTGCTCCAAGCCCCGTCCAACCTGGCCTTGGAACACTTCCAGGGATGGGGCAGCCACAGCTTCTCTGGGCAACCTGTGCCAGGGCCTCATGCCCACCCTCCCAGGGAATAATTTCATCCCAGTATTCCATCTAACCCTCTGGCAGTGTGAAGCCATTCCCCCTTGTCCTGTCCCTCCATCCCTTTTCCAGAGCCCCTCTCCAGCTCTCCTGGAGCCCCTTTAGGCCCTGGAAGGGGCTCTAAGATCACCCTGGAGCCTTCCCTTCTCCAGGCTGAACACCCCCAGCTCTCCCAGCCTGGCTCCACAGGGCGATACAACCAGAGGGAAAGTCACTAAACACGGCTTTTTTTTCTGCCTGCAGATTGCAATGGTGGCTGTAATTCACATTCCTGATGAAAGCTACAGACTTTCCTGCAGAATATTATACCAGTATCTCCTCCTGGCTCAAGGTCAATACCATGATCTGAAGGTAAGACACGCACAGAGAGTCTTGTTTCGCTTGTGTGACAGCGTTAAGTTTAGTTCGTGTGGGCTTTCGGGAGCCTAAATTAGTACAAGGCTTTTATTGTCATGCAAAGAACTGGATGGTAGTTAAAAATATTTTATCAGCTAAGTAGTTCCCGAGGAACTTACTGTACAGAAATATTTTCTGTGAAAATATTCAAGATTTCCTGGAGAAATTACTTGCTTCTAGTCTAGGAGTCCTAGGTTGTGTCCACTTTGTAAAGCGGTAGAAGAAATGAGCTGTTCAACGCTTCTTCTCTCCAGAATAATTATTTCCTTGCTAGTCACTCAAACCAGCTCTTTCTCCCAAATTCCCCTTTCAATCAAGAAAGTTTCAGGAGAAACTCGCTTTTAAAAATTCCTTCTTTCCTGCAGTACGTGCTCCGAGGTCGGGAGTCGTACCCAGAAGGATTTGTGCTTCACGTAAAATAAGACAAAAAAAAATAAAAGAGTTAGGGGATTGGAAAATGAGCAAGAGCAGAATGGGTTGAGTGAAGTGGACTTGACAGCGTGGTGGATGTAACTTTGGTAGGGATGGATGGAAGATCCCTCTGGGCACAGGGACTGATAGACCAGAAACGAACCCGAGCTGCTCAAAACCTCCTGGTGAAGTTCATGCATGATGTTCATCTGATACAGCCAGGATCTGATGGCTTATCCTTAATGTTTTCCCAGTGTTTTATGTGATTTTTTTTTTTTATGCCTCTGAAGTGCCTGTTACTGAAGGCCAGGCAGCTGTCAGGGCCCACACAGGGTCTGGCACTGGGGAAGCGACCCAGGGGAACTTCCATTGCACGTGTGAGTCTGTGTGTGCAGGGATTGGAGCAGATTTTCTGACTTCTAAACACTCCTGCTTATGTGTATTTTAGCAACTCTTCATGTCTGCAAATAGCCCTGCACCGTCCTCGAGCAGCACATTCCCTGGGAAGAGCAGCATTGACAGGGCCTTGCTGGAGAAGGAGGGGCTGGCCGGGAACGAACCGGAGCTGCAGGAGGAAAACAGCAAAGACTGCGTTGTTTGCCAGAATGGCCCCGTGAACTGGGTCCTGCTGCCCTGCAGGCACACCTGTCTGTGTGATGGCTGTGTCAGGTATTTCCAGCAGTGTCCCATGTGCAGGCAGTTTGTCCAAGAGTCTTTCCCACTCTGCAGCAGAAAGGAGCAAGACGAAGACGAGTTGGCCCATGGCTCGCAAGATGTTCTTCCTGCAAGAGTCTTTTAACGGGAGACAGAAATGAGAAGACCTGGGGCTGTGTGCACTGAGATTAAATGTGGAAGCCAGACTGTTTATGGGAGGATATGTAGCAGTAACTTGTAGGGTTTTTTGCTTTTTATTGTCAGGTAATTTTCAGCTTCCTTATTTTTCCTCGCTCCATATGCTCGCAGGAGCGCCGTGCTGGTGTGCAATGTGGACAGGAGAAGTGCGTAGGATGTCTCTGAAGGATGTGATTTTTATTTATAACTGCTTCCTAGTTTTTCTTGGAGCACTGTTGGAGGCTATTTCGACTACTAAATTTAGTGTGTCTACTAAAAAAAGAATAAAAACTTGCAAGTGCAGCTGAACACAGCTCCTTCTATATTTATTGTATTTAAAATACTAGAGCCATGTGTCATCTTAACTTGGTGTAATTTAGGAACTTAGCACTTTACAGAATGTACCATATGAAGGAAAGTAAATATTATTCATTGTTAACCCCTGTGTATTTATTTTGTAGCTGAAGTCTGGACTGTGGCACGAGCTGGGAGTTAGAGGGGTTCAGGACACTTTCTGGCTGGTTTGAAGGATCTGTGTGTGTGTGTGTGTGTGAGGGACTTCAGCCAAAGCCCTTTGGAAAGATTTCTGTTGATTATTCCTGAGCTACACGTTGGTGACACTTTCAAGCCTGAGCCCTTGCTATGACATCTTGAGGCACAGACTTCCAGTCTTGTTGGCAACGCCTGTAAGAACTTATTCCCCGTGCAAATGTTGGTTAATCACTCCCCAGGGTGGTGACTTGGGCAGTTTTGTGGTGCTCTGTGACATTTCCAACTCTTTTCACTTGCCTGGTCAGCTTGGATGCAAAGTTAACCAGTTACCTTTATCAGGGAATTTATGTGGCCTAACAAAGAAGCTAAAGAATAGCAGAAAATTATTTCTTTTCTTTCCGTGGTGTATTGGCAAAAGCAATAAAAACAGCTGTTGAGAAAGTGGTTTGTTTCTTAAGAGAGGCACAAATTCCCCTCAGGACAGACCAGCTGACTTTCACAGCTGCTCACATAAGACAAAGTGCTCCTCAGAACCTGTAAAAATGGGGAGTAGCTGCTCTCTGTCATCCCTCTTGTTCCCTTGCAGCTTTTCCTCACATCCAATTCCAGGAGAGCTGCTCAGGCTCAGGCAGGGAAAGCCGTGCTCCAGCTGCCCTCTCCTGCAGCTCCAGGGTCCACACAAGGTGCTGCAAACCAGGAAAGGAGCTTCCCCTACTCAAAGGTATTCCATCTTCACCATTTATCCTTCTCTTTTACTGTTTGCCCTGACCCTGCTTCCAAACTCCTGGCAGTTACCTCTGAGGGAAGGACTGGGGTGGTGGGAAGAGCAACGGTTGGTTGTAAAGGGCAGGTGGAGGTGGGGAATTGATGGATGTAGCCACAGATTTCCAGAGAAACCTGGATCAGCAGCTGGTTGTAAGACAGCTAATCTGGTGTGCCTGGAGTGACCTTCCTGGGCAGGGACAGCTCTGGAACAAACTGCTGCACAAACCAGCCTTTTGTTTGCACCCCGAGGTGTCTGCGGGCACCGAGCAGCGCTGGATCCGTGGCAGCTGCTGTTTCCATAAGAACAGCTCCCCCAGCACGTGGGACAGCCTGTTATTCCAGAGGAGCAGGTCAGTGCTGCGCTGCTTCCAGCCTGGAGCTGGGCACTGATGATTAGCAGGGGCTTGTTTGCCCACTTGGATGATGAGAGAGGTGTTGTTTGCTGCTGGACCGCGGTAATCACCGATATCCGATCAATCGGCTGAAATTTCCCAACGAGACAGCGGGATCCAAACCCGTGGGCTTGTTTAATCTCAGACTGAAATGGTATTCAAGTAAACCCACAGAGAGCTGCCTGGTCTGTCTCATCCTTCAATCGATGCCAGAATTAAATAATAATGGCAAACAGGATGTAGCTGTGCTGAACTGCCAGGCCATGTATTTACCATTAAGTCTGTCCTGGCTTTTCATTTGTTTCATCTTCTTTTAATAGCATTTTCCAGAGATGCTTAGTTGCTTTCTCAGCTCTAACAAGCTTCCTTGCTGGCCCAAATGAAAGGAACTGAGGGAGAGTTATAAAAAGTACAGTAGCTGGCTCATTACATTTGCCCTTCTTCTAAGGAGCCATCCCAAAATATAGATCAGGTAAGGAGGAAAAGGAGCAGCTCTAAAGCTGCCTTGTGTGTCCCTTGGTTGTCTTAAAGCAGGGATTCAAGGCTCTAAGAGAGAAGTAAAACCTTCCTGTGACCCACAAAAACACAGTCTATTGACAGAGGCTGTTGTGCTCTGTCACCCTGTTGTAATAGAGGTAACATAATGTTCCTTTTCTGCTCATTAGAGATGATGTTTATGGATTTTGGGGACATCAAGGAGCGCTTCTGGCAAGCAGGCTTGCTTCTTTCCAGCAGCACTGGGGTGTTACAGATCTGTGCTGGCTTTTGCTGCAGGAGAGGTTGGTTTGGTTTGGTTCGTTAACTAATTAGAGCTGAGGCTTCGGAATGGGTTGATGCTTAGGGATGTCCCAAGGTGTCTTTCCAAGTGCCACCAATTGAATATGACAGGGACATCTTCCTTCTGTAGTGAAAGCTGCTGTGTTAGGATCTTCCTTCCCTCGTTCCCTGCCTCCTCCAAGTAGAGGGAAAATGGTCGGAGGGCAAATCCAGGTCTGGATTTGAGTGGTTGCTGCACAACTCCCTGACAGGAGGGTGTCACCAGGTGGGGGTGGGTCTCTTCTCCCAAGAAACAAGCAGTAGGACAAGAGGAAACAGCCTCAACTTGGCCAGGGGAGATTTAGATTGGATATTAGGGACAACTTCTTCACTGAAAGGGTGGTCATGCTGCCCGGGTACGTGTTTTGTTCAGCTTTCAGATGAGCTCCCGCGTGGATCTGATTCGGGCGCCTCATTTAGGGGCTAACATCATTTTAAGTACAGTGAAAGCAGCCAGGAATCTGCTGGATCCGAGTTTCTCCTGCCGATTTGCACGTTCCTGGGTCTCCTCATGCCCCGAGGAAGCTCTGCCAGGGCTGCAGGTGACGTGTGCCAGGTGAAGGGGGTCTGGGGCACCAGTCACCACTCGCTCAGTCGTCCCCCTTCCCAGAACGAACGAGGACTGGCCTCTGTCACTGCAGTGGACGTGCAGCCCCTGCTGAGGCTGTCCCTGGTGTCCTGTGTGTGCGTGGAGCTGATGTAATTAATGCCAGGGACAGCTGAATTTCATCTGATACAGCAGAAGTCCTCTGAACTAAGCTGTGAGAAGGGCTTGGTGTTGCCTTGTTGGAGGATGCCGGGCATGAAAAAAAGAGGAAACCAGGATTAGGGGTTTATTCCTGGGTGACTTCAGTATTCCTGCCGTTTCTGATGGCACACAGCGGTGGAGGTGCAAACCTGAGTGCAGCTGCAAGGCCACAACCAGGCACTGGAGAGTGCCATGCTTTGCAGGGTCCCCCAAAAACCACAGAGGGGCTCAGAAAGTCTCTGCAGAGTCACTGGGGCAGCTCTGCGTGTTTCTCTGTGTGCTGCTTTCACTCCCTGATGTCCATGTGGGCAGAGAGAGGTGAGATTGTAGTGCAGCGATGGTTATACCTGTAAAAAGGGGCTTCCAGTGGTTTAGTTCCATAAATTTCTGGGAATGTGCAACGCCTGCATAAAGGCACCTTTGTGTGGATGCTGCTGCAGCTGAACTGGGAGAGAGTCCTGCTTTAATTATCTGGACAATTAGTTGCTACCTGTGTTTGATATCCTCAGCCTGAAGCAGCCTTTTATCAGCAGATTTGTACTTAGGAAGCTTTTCTAGGTTTTCAGTGCCTCCTCCAGCTTTTTGTCTTTATCAGCTGAGGGGTTCTGGCAGTTCCTAATAATTTTTCCTCTCCCATTACATATCCACTTCACATCTAATATTTCCTGGCAGGCTCCTCCATAGTAGCTGCAGTCAGGGGACTGGTGAGGAGCCCAGTGCATCACTTCTCTCTCTCTCCTCCTGCTGTTTATTCCAGTGTCCATCAGCTCCTCGTGAGCAACACTCTAACAAACAGGCTGGAGGGAGGATTGCTAACTTGTGAATTGTTTTGATAGCTATCCTCTTCATTTTCTCCTGTAATTCCGCAGAGGCTGTTGAGTTTGGAGGCAGTGGGACCCCAGAGATCCACCAGGGGTTATCTTGCATCAGCCCCCTGCCACCAGAGCTGTGAGATGCGGGTGTTGTGTCTTCGCCGGCCACAAGCGGCACGGACGCGGTGCTCGGAGCTCTTTGATTTTTTTTGGCTCCTGTTCCTGAGGGCTCCTCGATTTCCAGGGTGTTCCCTGTAGGGGAAGAGCGTGGACTGTGAGCTCAAGATGCAGCAGCTTGCAGGGAGCCTGGGGTGGATGTTGCTGGCAGCGAGGCTGAGGATAATGACGGGAAGGGGGAGCCTCGAGGGAGTCGGGCACGGGCGGTGCCTCCTGTGGCTGCTCCACTCGCCGGGGTTAACAGAGCCCTTGATGGCAGCACATGCCACTGATCAAAGTGAGACCAGGGCAGCGATTTATGGCCCAAGGAAAGCTTGGAAGGGCGTGATTTTCATTCACCAGCCGCTGCCATACACAGAGACAAGATTTTCCTTTCAAAGCCAGTTTCCTCCTAGGTGGTCAGCACCAAACCCTGCTGGAGCAGCTGCAGCATCACCCAAACCCTCCTCTGCCTGAATGACACAAGAACTCACCTGTACATTTTGCTATAGGACCAAAAAGAAGGTGTTTGCCAAGAGCTGGTGGATTCCTGTTTAAGAATGGCTACGGCTTTTCCAGTCTTTGATCTTTAAATATCTTCCCAGGGGCATGAGAATGTGTAAATAAGTCTGACAGTTCCAGTTTTCCCTTTCAGCACCAACTTCTTCACAAAAAAAGTCTCCCTCGAGTTCTGCAGCATTTAATGCTCTGTTATTAGTGCTGGAGTTCTGTGTCCAGCTCGGGGGTCTCCAACATGGGAAGGATGTGGAACTGCTGGAGTGAGTCCAGAGGAGGCCATGGAGATGCTCTGAGGGCTGGAGCTCCTCTGCCCTGGGGACAGGCTGGGAGAGCTGGGGGGGTTCACCTGGAGAAGAGAAGGCTCCAGGGAGACCTGAGAGCCCCTTCCAGGGCCTAAAGGAGCTCCAGGAGAACTGGAGAGGGACTGGGGACAAGGGATGGAAGGGACAGGACAAGGGGGAATGGCTTCAAACTGGCAGAGGGCAGGGATAGATGGGATATTGGGAGGAATTCTTGGCTGTGAGAGTGGTGAGGCCCTGGCACAGGTTGCCCAGAGAAAGTCTGGCACTGTCCTTGGATCTCTGGAAGTGTTCCAGGTTGGGTTGGACGGGGCTTGGAGCAACCTGGGCTAGTGGAAGGTGTCCCTGCCCATGGCAGGGGTTTGGAACTGGATGGTCTTTAACCCAAATAATTCTGTGATTCTATGATTAACAAGCCATTTTCTTTTTTTCTGTCCTGA